AACATTTTTGGAGTCAGTCAAACCCGCCGATCCGGGCCTCTACTCAGGTTACAAGGTTCAGAGGTCGCAAGCGTTATACCTCGCGAGGATCATGTATCCCGTTAGACCCTTGAGGATTTTCCTTCCGGCTCCTTATGTTTGACCCTCATAATCGTTGGACCGTTGTGATTGTCTTTCCTGCCTTCCCGATTGCCGCTTGTTTTTGTTTGACCTTTAAGATTGTCTTCTGCCCACCTCTCTATTGTTTAACCGTACAATGTTTCACCCTCGTGAGGTATAACCCTTGCGATCTTTGATCCTTGCGAGGTATGACCGTTGCGTTGTTGGACCCTGGTGAGGCTCCAACCCCCTTGCAATCTTGTCAATGGGGTGATTCTCACGCCAGAATAACTGTGCCGTTCTCAATCACGTATACACGCGTTCAAAAAGGTCTAAAACCTGCCAGGTAAATTACTTGCTTTTTTACATGTAGAAAACTTGATAAAATACCGGTAGTATTTTACTTACCTTAACCTAACTATTATTATTCTCGGCGCTCTGAAGAATTCAGAAGTGAAATGGAGAGAAAAATCAAATTGAGATCTCCCACAAAATTTGTTTTTCGAAAATATCTCGAAATCTAAAGAGGATACAGAAATTTACTCGGTGACCTTTATTGATGTCCTTTCTTGTAGAGCAAAACAAATTCTACAATAGAATTTTCGTCACTAGGGCCAAAGAAACGTTTCTGACGAATATGCGTTTGCAATCAAATGAACTGGAAAATTGGTTTTTGGCCATGTGACGAACATTATTGTTCGACCCCCCACTCGTATGAACATTCCTCCTTTTTTACACTTTTTTTGTAACGTAATATACTATTTTAAAAGAAGAAAAAAACAATCTTCAAAATATCCACTAATAATCGAGTTAGAGAACTCCGGTTGCGCTCATTATGTTTATTTTGGACTATATTTTTTGATAAGAAAAGAAAAAATCCTAAAAAATCATCTTAAAAAATTTGGAAGCAATTATTCATGTACAGAATTAACGACCCTTGCAATCTTGTCAATGGGGTTATTCTCGCGCCAGAATAACTGTGTCGTTCTCAATCACGTATACACGCGGTCAAAAAGGTCTAAAACCGGAATTTTCTCAAATAGATTTTCAATTTCTTCCACTTGGAAAAACTCGAAAATGGTGAAATAAACACCAGTTTAAGGCGATTTGCCAATTGTGATTTCCTAAAATTAATTCAATTCATGAAAATAAATTCCTCTTTTGTAATAATTAGAAGACAATTCACCTATCAAATCCTGAACAGGTCCAGCAGTACCGCCATACTCCGCTGGCAACATTCCTTGCGAAACTTTGGCCTTGAAGAACTCTTCAGATGATCCTTTATGCACAACAGTCCTAGACTTCAATTTCTTATTCATAAAAGATTTAAAAACGTTGAGCACAAAATTAACGTAGACAGGAGCATTTACGAAGTCGAGAGACTGGATACGAAGGGGGTAGCAGCCCTGCCAGGCATGAACCAGACGTTGAACAACGCTGGGAGTCATCTGGAGCCCATGATCCAAGGTTACGCCAGTCATATCGAAAATTGCAGATATACCATAGATTGATGCTGAAACGTGATCTTTCAGAGCCACGTCCAGGATCATTAAACTTGCCTAAAATGTTTAAGATATTAATGTGCGAAATTATCTTAATGAATATCATACACGAAAAAAAATATACTTGAATTGAGTATAAAATATACTTGATTCAAATATATTATTCTTGATTCGAGTATGTAATATACTTAAATCAAGTATCTTATTCTTGATTCGAGTATATAATATACTTAAATCAAATATATTTTGTACTCAATTGGGGGATGGGTATTTCAATTCGGAGATGATTGTTTTGTAT